TTACTCGCGTGCATACCCGGCGATGCACAATGTCACATTCTGACAAATCATCTGACAAATGTATTTATTATTTTACGGAAATTCGTTACAGGACCCACTTGTCTTGCTACAGGACCCATATATTCCGCAGGAGGGCTCACAAATTTTAGCTACAGACCTCCACATTGCGTTGTGATATACTGCTTTCTTTTTTGTTCCTTCTCGGTTTCTTTTTTCGATTCTTCTTGGTTTCTTGCTCAGCTTCTTACTCCGAATTAGAATCTTTGCTGTTGACAAGTTTTTAGGGCTCGAAGTGAGGTGATGATAGCAAAACTTTGAAGTTTTGGAAATGCCTTGAAGCAAAGGAGAAGAGCAGCCATGTCTTGCATGAATTAGAGGAACTGGCGAAAGGGAAATGGTCTCAAAAGTGAAGGGAAATGTTCCAAGGAGATCTCGAAACCAATGTGCATACCCGGCGATGCACAAATGTCAGATGTGGGAGTTTCGATGTGCACACCCGGTGATGCACGCGGGCTGCAATGAGTTCAAAAAGCAGAGTTGCATTCGTATCGATTTGATGCATTTACAAAGATTTACGTGGAGCCGCTATTTTACAACGCTCTGTTTTTATCCGACCAGACGAGTCTGGTACAACTGAAGCGATTTAGAACGGAAAGTGTGGTTTGGTTCAAGCGGTATTCCGATCGCAGTTCCAACTCACAACTATACTTCTAACTATCACATCCATGGCCATCAAAGCAATCAAACTCAATCAACACCTTTGGCGTGTGCCACACGAGGTAAGCAAACCAGCAAACCTTTGACCTTTCTGCTGAGGCCGTATAATGGATGTTAGGGAGGGGATGAGGTCTCCGACTGTCGACGGACTACTATAACTCGGTCCTTTAGACCGCCTCAATTTGATGCCCACCTCAGAACTAAGTCGGCGTCAGGACGGGCCTGCGCGATCCGTCCTCTCTCTAAGGCTCAGTCTAGAGGAAAGCAAACCAGCCCTTTTGGCGCAGGAAGGAGTAGCTGCACCGCTTGCGTCATCACTCTCATACCGTACTGGCCGAGTTCAAGTTGTCAGTCGAAATCTTGGACTCCATCCCCTTCTCAACACTCAACATACGATCCCAGCAGAAACGACAGAAGGGCTGGCTTGCTTAACTCGTGCCACACATTGACGTCCATTTTAAATCGTACGAAAATGTTAAAGGGTGCCCACAGGGAACTGGGCAAAGGCGTCGTTCGAAATACTTCATCAGTCCTCTCAGTGCTAGAGGGATTCTGATATGACGAGTGACAGCACTGAGACATCTCGATACTAGTACAAATTTTGAATTATTTTCTGCGTTTCTGACATGCTCAGCCTGAATCAGCTCCAAACACGATCTGGAGGCTTCATTTTCCTATTAGTTTCCCATGGCTTCTTCAGTTGATTGGCCTTCCAGCAGCACTATATTCACTGGTAACGGTGACATGGATGTGCACGGTGAGTAACGAATCAACAATCGGCAGTAGCTTACCTCAAACAATTATCAGTGAACTAGCGATTTCGAAATTGGTAGAAACTTTTCTCCAACTGATACTGGCAGTAGTTGTATACGGGAGGGGGGCAAAAAAAAAGACATTTTGCCAACGTCGCACTTCGGCACTTAGTTGATGGGAAAGTTAGTTAGTTTTTTCAGTAAAATATTCCCTAAATGTCCCTCTATAAGTGGGCGCTTGCCCTCATTCACTGTCCTCACGGTCTTCATCATATGACGTCATCTGTCGACGTCGTCGAGCTCAACGTGGCCTACAGTAACTGCTTCAGCCTGAAGCTCTTACATAATTTCTTTAGTCGATCCAATGTGGGATAGATTCCTAGGGACATTAGCTCTAACTATGCGTACCCCCTCGGGACCCCCCTTTCGGAAACCTGAAATAGAGTGTGCTCTTCAATTCTAAGTTGGGTGCACTCGTTTTAAATCGAGCAAAGTGCGACCGAATCGATTTGAGTACGGAGACAAAATGTCTTTTTCTTATTGCCTTCCCCCTGGATATGGATGGAGCCCTTACTCGCCTGCTGTAAAGGGATCCCCGCTTTCGATTCCGATTCGGGCTTGATTCAGATGAGTTTTGAAACTGTCAATTGTCCAGTGCAAACTAACCCCCGGACTAACTACTGCCATATGTGGACCTGGTTTTGTACCCGAAGTCTGCTAACTTTATACGATCTCTCTGCTTTATGTACAAGTTGTTCATTTTGGTGTCTTCCTACCCTCGCTCCCTAAATTCCGTAGGCATCGGACTCTTTCATTTGCAAATCAGTGTTTCTGGTCGGCCGATGTTTGCATTGTTGCAGAGGGCGAGATAATTTGCTGATTCCTAGTCATCTGATCACATGATAAGGATTGTGACCGCTCAATGCCGAACGCGTTATTGTTGACTGGACAACATCAACGTATGACCGTTTCACGAGCACGAGAATGATGCTATCTTTGATCAGTATTCATTGGATTGAAGACCGTGAAAATTATCGCTAGCAGTATTTATACAAAACAAGCAATCCCTTTACACGAGAAGTCTCTGTATTGTACTAGGTTGTCTCATAAATAGTGTCGTTTTATTCCAAACGCACGTTTTTCCACAAAAACTCCATTGTTTTATGAAGCCCTATATATGGTTCGATAGCAAATTGTCTGCTCTAAAAGCCGGTTCAATCCGCTTCCAAAAATATTATACTTTGTTTGGATTTCAGGCATACAAAAAGGGCGCTCCGGTCGACGAAATTTTGCCTAACCGACAGTTGGCCCTAACCCTACTTTCCCCTGGAGGAAATCGGTTAGGGGTGTACCGTCTACTTACTCATGGCATCTTCTGACCGTTCCGCCGATAGGTTGTAGTAATGTCTTGCAGTGCTTCTTTCAAACTCGATTTTTCATAACACATAATGATTTTTAAACTGAATTTTTTCTCAGAACGCCATTGTTTCATAACAGATAATATATCGTTCCTGAGCATCTTCTCCGCTCTATTCGGTCATAACATTTATGTTTAATTCCGTTACGACTGGTCCGAATTTCAGGCCTGCGTGATAAGGTGTTCACTCCACGAAAATGACCGCCATCACTTTGGAAAAATTTCCCCAGAAAAGGAGAGAAAATCAATCAGGCATACAATCCCAACTTATGGTTAGACATAACTTGCTCTGAACATTCCACTAGTTTTTCAATGTCTCGGCTGAAAAAACTTTTGGACTCAATTCCAATAGTTGGTGCTTGGCCATCGAGTCCTGGAGGGAAAACACATTCTGGAAGAGGAGCGAAGCGACTTGTTGGGACACCTATAGCGTCATAAGAAAGTAAATGGTACACTAATGATTGATTTTTCCTCGGGTAAAGTAGAATTAAGGCGAGCTGTCGATATGGCAAAATTTTGTCGACTGAAGCTTTCATTTTGCATGCCTGAAATTCAAACAAAGTACAATATTTTCGGAAGCTTATTAGACCACCTTCTCAAGCAGATAATTTCCTATCGAACTATATACAGGATTTAATAAAACAACGGAGTTTTCGAGGAAAAATGTGCGTTTGAAAAAAAAACGACAGTATTTATGAGACAACCTAAGAATAAAAACAGCTGATCGACGTTCCTGAGATTCTAAATACTCCTGCAAAAAATACAGAATAGAAGTATTTCAGATACCACTTCCTCGCCTTTTTCAGCAGGAATCGGATTTTGCGGTGGAGGAATCGTTTGTATTTCGGATCCTTCAAGTGGAAAGTTTCAATGTCTTTGAACATAGTGGAGCCTAAATCTTATCGATCGTCCTGTTTTGAG